CCTTGGATCAGGTAAATAGGAAGAGCCCACTCGGCTCTTCTGTCATTTGATTCCGGACCATCCAGCTGATGGTCGCCTGCGTTTGACCGCTGGCGACCGTGAGAGGCGGCCCGTGCTGTCGCGGGCCGTATGCCGCAGACCTTTCACGCCGATGTGGTATGCGTACCGGGCGAGGTCGGCGGCCGACCAGCGTATCCTCAGACGGAGCCGCGCTTCCGGCGACGCGTCGGCGGCCGACCCTCCCCCGGCAGCTGGCGGACGCCCGGCCGCGGTCTGAGCCGCGCACGTGTGACACGCTCCTGTACCTGTCCTGGGCGGTTAGGCCGCCGCCGCTCCAGCGGCCGCCGGCCGCGGGTTACTCACGCGACCGGCTGCAGCGCCGGCCACGGCCGCGGCCGACCCGGATCGCTCACCGACGGCCGAGCCAGCAGGGGGGTGCTGAGTCTGTCGCGAGCGAGCCGGGCCCCAGAGGTCGGAAGCGCGGGGGGGGGGAGGGGCTGGCGGTGGAGGCGGGAGGCGGGGGAGGGGGGGGGGGGGACTAGCGGTGGAGGCGGAAGGCGGTAGGTAGTAGAGACTAGCGCCGACCGCCGGCGGTGTTTTAAAACATGCACGCTGCCAATACCAGTTTCTTGCGTCAGAGACCTCAGAGGTCTCTCTTAATGCTCGCCGAGACTCGGCATTTCGCCAACTCCGATGCCACAGCGGGTTGGTTGGTGCGACCGCCGCTGGTTGTGCACCCAACTACTACCGCGAAAATACAAAGACGGAACGATTGGCCTTGCACGTAATCCGCGACTATGGTAACGTCATTTTGCAAGATTTCTTTATGCTGACCAGCCATGTCATGTGAAACAAGGTCAAACCACATTTTCGTCTTCTGTACACGGCTTTTGCGCCTGTCCGCAGAATAAAGCTGTTACAAGTCCAAGTGTACCTCCTTAGCTTTCAGGAAATGTGAGGTCATCTGATGTGACTCCATGACCTGCATGTCCGTAGAAAAAAGCTGTTACAAGTCGAAGTATGCCCCCATTAGCTTTCAGGAAATGTGAGGTCACTGAGGTCCCTCCGTGACCTGTCATAACCTTGATCTTGGAAAATAGTAAACATAAGATATCGATGTCTGGCGATGATATTGGGTTGTCGTCAAGATCTTACTGCCCACTATTGGTGGTTTTGAAGCGTGCCCCTTTTGTGAAATCAGTTTTGGGCGGTCCTTACACCATCGCTTGCGCTTCAGTCATGAAAGTTCCAAACATAGCGTGTTTGCGGACTGATTTGGCGAGATTTCTACGCCTGACCTGATGCCACTTTGGCTTAAATGGTCCTAGGAAAGGTGATAAGCAATGATGACGTTAATGATTTGACCACTCGGCACCTTTGGGACACAAGGCGCATTGGCATATCTGATGCACAAAGAGCAATGCTCGCAATGCTAGCAATGCTTCGCGGAGTGTCAAATCGTTACATATTCGCCCCTAAGAGCTTTGAGGGCTTGAAGTTTAGAGGACTGGTTTTGCAATTTTTTAACCCAAACTATGATTCGTTCCATTCCCGTGCATCTAGCTGTCCTGGAGATGCTTCCGAAAGCCGGCCTTTGCACCAAACCGTCACCAATGGCCGTTAACTGTCGCCTCGCCCTCTTCTGTGACCTGCCCGTGATTGAGTCGCCGCCGGCCGCTCCAGCTGACCGGCACGCTCCGGCCCGTCACGTGCCCTGTTTATCCCCGCGCCCCCTGCTGTGACCTGCCCGTGACTGAGTCGCCGCCGGCCGCTCCAGCTGACCGGCACGCTCCGGCCCGTCACGTGCCCTGTTTATCCCCGCGCCCTCCGCTGTGACCTGCCCGTGACTGAGTCGCCGCCGGCCCGCTCCAGCTGACCGCCACGCTCCGGCCCGGCACGTGCCCTGTTTATCCGGCGACCTGACGCGGCGGAGCGGCGCCGACAGCGGGGCCGTGGCCGGGCATGGCGGCCGCTGGTTATTCGGACTGTGCTCCGGCCGAGCACGACCTCGACAGCCGTGCGCATGCCTATCCGGCCCCGACTCTCCGAGGCCACGGTCGCAGGTCTTGGCCACCCGGGCGGACTCTCGTGTCGTCCTATGAACTGTTTCGGTCGTTAATTGCCGTTGTGGATCATGTTTTCTGGGGGCCCGACCTCCCTAGTCCTCGTGAGGGTGTCCCAGCCGTTTGTGGGCGTTTGGCTATTTTTGGGAGCATGTAAAGGCGGCTCTTTTGTTCACATATACTTTTTCAGTGCGTTATAACGCACGACAGAGGAGGTGGTGTCATGAGAAAAACCAATGCATAAAAACGTGCAATGCGTACCTTAAGTTGCTCAAACTGAGAACCGAAAGAGTCGCATATGAAACAATTTTGTCGCGATGTGATTCGTACCTAAGGCCTTAATGCCGGCTTAAATTATGTGGAATAGTCTGGCATACAAGAAAGCTCGTTTACAATAAGTCGCTGCTTATCGTCCACAAATATAACAGATGTGCTTATATTTGTGCCAGGTATCGCTTGCCAAGTATTGGAACATGCAGCTAAAATTCATCGGGCCCCTGTGTTTTGAAGGACTGCCCGGCGTGACCAGACGTGATATGAGAGATGAGAGCCAATCCTGTTCATAGCGGCGACACCGGTCAAAAAGTATGACGTATTCAGCAAAAGTTTTTGACGTAGGCAGATGCACAGTTTATAGCCTGTGGCTATGCATGCGTATCCAACGCTGAAAACAGCGCCTGCGTGAATGGACCAATAGCCCCGCGATGCTAAACGGGACGCTTTAAACACGTGTACTTCTTATCCGTCTGCAAGGCTGTCTGAAACTTTAAGGCTACTGGAGTCGCAAAGGAAACGACGCAATGACAGAAAGCTCTTGCAGGTTCCAAGAGACAGAAGCGCTAAAGGTTGTTTAGTTTCTTCTCAGATGTGCTCTGTCTGAATTGGAGTGATGCTTATCTGCCCTTTACCGTGGTGATCACCGCACCGGGCACATTGTGACAGGGATGCCTGGTGAGGTCATGTCAGGGGACCCTGATTCTCGTCTCGGGTCGGAACTTTTTGTGGGTCCTTGGTCTCTTATTAATCAGACGTATCCGATAAACTAAATAAACCTGCATAATGTACAATGCATGATATATGATACATAATCATACCAATTAACGAATGGGTTACGGCCATAAGGCGCCTGTGTGTCCCCAAGCCCTACCCTCTCCCCCACCCACTGCCTGACGCTGATCTCTGTATGAACTGCCTTGAACTTCACAACCGCTTGATTTCCCCATGATCGATTTAAGTAACGTCGTTTGAAGTCTATTGATGGATTGTAATTCCAAAACAGTCTTGAGCATGAATATTCCCTGATGCCTGTTTCCCAATATAACCACAGTTTCAAGCAATCGTTCTTGAACTATCGTTCCGGGTTAGTTCTTCGGACCCAACTGAGCTCTGAATCCTGCTTCACTTCACTCCATTGACCATTCCGAGCTCCAGGCGAGGAGCCTGGGTGCCTTGACTGATCGCACCGATTTGAAAATTCGTCTTCACTGGACTTAAGCGTACTACCTGATCTCGCGTGGTCCAAACGTTAGCGCGGCCGTTCACTGAAGTTAAATACCCGTTGGTGGGGGGGGCAAGGGCTTCCACTGATGTTCTGCTTCGCAACATACATGATTTCTGGATTCTGGGTCTCCTGTGGGGCCGACGCCGGCCATTGCTGACGTGTGTAAACATTGCTGACGTGTGTAGACTTGCCCTTGGTAGAGGAGTTAAGCAAAATCCGACTCTATCCTTGGCACGCACGCCTTCGCGACTTCGATCCAACAGGGCTTCTGCCGATACGCTCTAAATCTTGTCCGGGTGATATATTTGTAATGGGAGTCGGTGCTTCGGTGATATCAGCCTTGTTAATAAACCAACAATGCGTTGATTGCACCATTAGGTAGCTTTTAAAAATGCCTTTAGAACGGCTAGAGCAGTGAGCGATCCCGCCTGGCATCGGCGGAGTGCAGACCAAGCGCGGGGCCCAAATTAAATAGTTCACACTGCTAGTGATTTATTCAGCTGCAAGACAACCGACAGCTCATAAATCATCAATCCATTAAAATATGACTGAAATTACACGAAACATGGTTGCTAATTAATTGGGCCTCGGCAGTATGACCGGCCGTTTTGACGTTGATGCCTTCGATGAATGATTGCGGCGCTCGTGTTGGTTTTGAGAGCGAGCAAGCCTCAGAAGCGGGCAGGAGGGCTTCATGCTGAAGCTGTGTCGTCAGCGGTGAGGGGCAGCTTGACTTGACTTGGGCCGCTTGCAATTAGTGCCAATTCATGGCATGCAAAGAAAACACGTCTGTCAGGGTCTCATTAGTGGGAGTTTCCTGAATCGATGCCAGACGGCAGATAAGATGTGTCGAGCGATCCCATGCATTTCGTGAAGTTCATAATTGTTGAGTCGTCTTAATGCCCACAAACTGATCCGGGACTAAACTGATCGGGCGGTCATTTCTCTAATGATCTGTGTCTTATTGCGCACCGTCCACGAGTCACTGGATCATTATGCTGTGTACGTTGTCATGCCTGCATCCGCAGTAGACTAGCGCACTTGATAAACCCGTTTCATACGGCAGCCATTGAGACCAGGGACTCTAAAAGAACATCTGTGTTTTGGCTGCAACCTGAAACGTGAAAAATTCGATCTGTTACCTCTTATGTTATCTATTAATTGATCTTAACCGATCTCTTAAAGGGATCTTTTTCGCCAGCGCATGTTGTGACGGCGCGCACGCGCAGCTGACCGCGAAGAGTGACTCCCGCCCGCCACTGTGTCCGGCGCCCCGTCGAGCGCTACAAATGAGCAGCGGGTGCCTCGTGCACCGTGCACTCATGCAGCTTTTGTAAACTCCTTTTGTTGGCACCATTGCTGAACAACAGGAGCTGAAATGCAAGTTCTTAACATCGGCACACACCATGTTTACATGTTTCGCATGTTGGCCGCAGGCTCGGAGGCCCTGTATCCGAACATCTTCAACCTTGCTCCGGGAAGTGACGTCAGTGTGAACGCCACTTGCGGAACAGAGGCCAGCGAGGTGAGTCAGCCCCCCCCCCCTTCCCCTCACCCTCCCCGGCATCCGCCGAGATGACCGAGTGTTGTGTGTGGAAACATCCAGGCGAGGAAGTGGAGCCCGGCAGGCGGCGGGCGTTGCACAGCAGACTGCTTTAGCTGGCCACAATATGTGCCGTCCCGACTGCCTCTACGCAGACGTACTGGTCGCTTCAGACATATACCTGGTGGCAAATAGCTGTTCCTAAAACGCCTTCTGTGAATGACATCGGAGCCGCAGCGTCCACGTATTTGGATGCGTCTTCCGTGCCATTTTCAAGGCGTTCCGGAGTATTACACGCAAAGCGAGTGTATAGTGTGCACGGTGCTCCGGTGCTCGCCGGCTTAACTCCAGGCTCGGGAGCTAGTCGGTGCGTGGCCGGAGATGCTCTGCAGATGACGGTGCACACGATACACCCGTGTCGGACACGCCGACACGCTGTAAAGCAGCTCTGTGCAAGGCTGACGGGCGCTCCGAGCGCCGGCGCCAGAGACGCCGCCGCCGCTCCGACGAGGCCCGGCGCGTGGTGGTCCGGGAGATGCCGCCACAGATAGGACGGTAGCGCCCCGCGCCGACATCTGTCCCGGCGACAGGCGCGGCCTCAGGCGACGGGCAGCTGTCTCTGACGCCTTATGTCGGCCCTGTCACAGGAGCATGGCTCCTGGAACACACTCTGGTGTGAGCTCGGGTGTGAGTGCGGGCGTGAACGCACGTGTGAGCTCGGGTGTGGGCTCGGGTTATGAGCTCGGGAGCTCTGGTGCGAGCTCGGGTGTAAGTCCGGGTGTGAGCGCGGGTGTGAGCGCGGGTATGAACGCACATGTGAGCCCGGTTGTGAGCTCGGGTTGTGAGCTCGGGTGTGAGCTGGGGGATGAGCTCTGGTGTGAGCCCTCTGGATCGGGTTTGTGTGAGCATATGTTACTGTCTTGTGTATGTCCTGGCCTATGCGTGATGCGTTTCATGAGTACGTCTGGAGGAAACCTTATGCCAAGTGCACATTGTGATAATGTTTGCGCTTCATCGTCGGCACGCCTACACACTGTAGTGGAAACTGCCACCGTCAGTGGCGCGTAGGGAAGTGATCGATGTTCCGTGGAACGAATGTGTGGCAGGATGTCAGTTTGGAAACCGAGGTGTCAGAAGGGCTTGGAGATCAGGAGCGCATTTGCCATATTCTCAGCGTATTCCGCGGTACGTTGACGGCAATTATCGAGGGATCTAGCGCGCTCGCTTGCGGACGGCCCGCTACATTCCCTGGTAGTCAACCCCGCGGCTTCTTTCCTGATGTACGTGCTACAACGAGGATCTTGCTCCGATTCATACATCCCGACTACGTCTGCAGTTCCTCCTGCGGCCGCCCGTTGCATGTCTGCACACGCTGCGCCGCTTGTCCTGGCCGCCCGGCGGATCTGATAGGCGGTCGACTGCGGGTGTGCGGCCGCTGATCGTGACCTTTGCGATACCCGCCGGGTGTCGCGATCGCTGGTCATAGTCAGACCGTCCGTGTGACACAGAGGACTCAATCAGCCTCAGTAGAACTGCCAGGATACGGGCAGGGCAGGGCAGGGCAGGGCAGCGCAGGGCACGGACAGGACAAGACAGTATACGGCATTTTTGATGAATGTGCTGTTGACGTGAGAGCCAGACGAACAGCGCTTACCATCGTGTTCTCTCACCACTGCGATTCTCCCACCAGACGTTCTGCGAGCTTTCCAGCATCGTCTACATGACTGACGACGACTGCCAGATCTGCGACGCATTCAGCAGCGATGCCGGCCGACGCCACCCCATCGAAAACATCATCGACGGCACTGACGCCTGGTGGCAGGGCCCGACACTGGAGCAGGGCATGCAGTACCAGTGGATCACCATCGAGATCGATCTGAAACAGGTGAGGCTTCTCGCTTACGCCTCGCAGGAATCTGTAAGCGTAGAAAGTCTTTCTTATGAAGGGCTCCTACACTTATTGCAAGATATCAGCAGGCCGAGGGCTCCGGCATCTTATAGAACCCGCCGCACGTTCTGAAGCCCACACATCTAAGCTCAATGTCCTGGAGCAGAGCGGAACCAGATCACACGCAGTGGCCTGACTCAGGCTGGCTGGTTTGTCATCCATGAAGTCACCGTCTGATGTCACCACGTGTGATGTATTGTTCAAACCAACCGCAAACTGCTCGATGCGGCCGAACCACTGGCGGTCATGCCCACACCGCAGAGGAACATGCTCAGCACTGCTACAAACAGCGCCGCCAAAGCTATTTTGAGACCATCGCCTTGGTTCCGTCATTGGGAAAACAAGCTCAAAGGCGCGTGCGATAGCCCGGACAGTGGCACGCTGCTTTTAATGCACATCATCAAGATCAAGACGCCACTTGCGACCACGCTCACGCACTTCTACACTTGTCATGATGAGGGATTAATGTGGGGGGGGGGGGGGGGGGGTAAGCAGTATCTCCACCAAGAATCTCCTCAGCCTGGCATGCGCTGTCAAGGACTTCACGGAGTGCACCTTTATCTGAGATCGTCCTCCTTGTCCCGTGCTGCTCAGGAGTACGAGGTGGCGTACGTGATCCTGAAGACGGCCGGCTCCCCGGCGCCGGGCACGTGGGTGCTGGAGCGCTCGCTCAAGGGCGACATCTACGAGCCGTGGCAGTTCTTCGCCGGCAGCGACTCCGGCTGCCGCGACCACTTCGGCATGAAGCCCACCTCCGGCAAGCCCAAGTACCGCTCGGCCTCGGACGTCATCTGCACCAGCTACTTCTCCAAGTTGAACCCGCTCTCCCAGGCAGAGGTGGGGCTGGTCGGCGAGCATCTCGAGCATTGGATGACCGTGATTACGGAGTTCCTGCCCCCGGGGCTGCAGGCGATCTGCTTATGCACCCTTTGCCGCGTTACAGACATCTTGATGCTGTGCTTCAACTATCTGTCCTGGCAGGTGACAGCAATCTGAGCAAAGACTAGGCTGATTTTATTGAAAGCGCCTTGGCTTGACTCACCTTAAAGTGGTTGAAACACATGTAATATGGCGTATGCGTATGTCGTTAACTTGCGGTGACTTATGCCAACGCTGCCTTGTGGTGTAATTTGTATAACGTTAATTTGTGATGTAATTTGCCAACCTTGTGTGAATAGTCAAAGTTTTTGCCGTGCGTAACCTTTAGCCGGGAAAGAGACTTAAAGCGCTGTGACAAGATACAAGCTATATGTGAAGACACGACCACTCTGTCAGGTAAAAGGATAGCAACGCTTTCGCCAGCCCCAACCTTATTTGCTGCGTAAGCAAACTTCCGCCGTCTAGTGGAGATCATCAACCGCATGTGCTGAAACAATACGGGAGGCGGAATGTATGCTTTAGAAAAGTATTCCACATCATAGAAGAACAATATCTGGGCTGTCTTACTCCGTGGCTTTATCCGTTTTAGATCACGTGTTGTCCACCAAACCTCATCTTGTACCTGAACAAATCCGGTTTCGGCCTGCGTGGCTCCCTGAAGTGCGCCGCCGTCAGGCGGTGCGCCTGGCTCGTCTGACCGGCCTCGCCCTGCTCCAGATCTACGTGCCGCTGATCACAGGTCGGCCGACCTCGGAGAGCCCGTCCGCCGAACTGCTGGAGTTCGTGCGCGCCCGCTACGTCCGGCTGCGGCTGCAGGCCGTACTCTCGCTCAACTCGCACCTGCTGGCGTTCTCCGGCGGCTACGCCGAGCCGGACGTGCTCCGCTCCTACTTCTACTCGCTCCGGGACGTAACCATCGGAGGACGCTGCGCGTGCCACGGGCACGCCGAGGAGTGTCCCCTGCAGCAGGAGGACGGGGTGAGTGCATGTCCCTGGGTGCCCGCCGGAGAGGGAAGTGCTGTTTCTCGGCATTGTAGTTCCTTCGAACTTTATTACCATTGGATTGCGTGGCCACGTTTGGCTCACAAAGGTCCTATAGTTCAGAGTATTTGTTTAAGGTCAAGAACTAGGGAACGCTCCAAGACTCTAACCTGTCTTTCTTCGCCCTCACCATCCGCAGACGCGTCAGTGCTTGTGCACCCACAATACGTGTGGCGCCACCTGCGACGAGTGCTGCCCTCTGTACAACCAGCGGCCCTGGTCGCCGGGCAGCGCGTTCCCTGGGACGTGCGAACCATGCCAGTGCTACGGCCATGCCGACGAGTGCTACTTCGACGACGACGTGGCCAGAGGGAAGAAGAGCGTCAACATCGCCGGCCACCACGAGGGCGGCGGAGTCTGTCTTAACTGTCAGGTGACCGACGACGGGGGGCAGCACGGCGCTGCATTAGACGGGAAACACTTCGAAATGCTCGTCTTCGCTACCGCGAAATGGGTATAATGTGTGGCCGTCCGTTTAATGCAAGATCGGCGGAATTTTACCACTCTAGTCTATGTTAATCGACCTTTTTGCTCATATTTTTGTTTTCGTTTTGGGGGCAGACGCTATTGAACCTTTTTCAAATGTTTGACAAGTTATTATGCACTTGAAGAATTCGCTTCCCGATGTAATTTTTTATTTAATTTCCAATTGTGACATGTGAATGAGTTAACCATGGTGAGTTTTCTTGCCTTGTCTTGACCTAGCAGCACTTTGTCGGTAGCATTTCACGGCCGGCATCAACTGCGAGTCATGCCTGGCGGGGTACTTCCGTCCGGCCGGGCTGCGGCCCGACGACCCTCAGCCGTGCCGGCGCTGCCAGTGCACCGCTCCAGGCGCCACCGGCCTCTGCGTGCAGGACGACAGCCGGCTCACGGACGGACAGGTCAGTGTACAGCCTGATCACAGACGGGACAGGTCAGTGTACAGCCGGCCCACGGACGGACAGGTCAGTGTACAGCCGGCTCACGGACGGACATGTCAGTGTACAGCCGGCTCACGGACGGACAGGTCAGTGTACAGCCGGCTCACGGACGGACAGGTCAGTGTACAGCCTGATCACAGACGGGACAGGTCAGTGTACAGCCGGCTCACGGACGGACAGGTCAGTGTACAGCCGGCTCACGGACGGACAGGTCAGTGTACAGCCTGATCACAGACGGGACAGGTCAGTGTACAGCCGGCTCACGGACGGACAGGTCAGTGTACAGCCGGCTCACGGACGGACAGGTCAGTGTACAGCCGGCTCACGGACGGACAGGTCAGTGTACAGCCGGCTCACGGACGGACAGGTCAGTGTACAGCCAGCTCACGGACGGACAGGTCTGTGCCATCAAATTCTCAGTAAAATTAGTCATTTGTTAACATTAGACCAGTAACATCAGTTTCTGGTGATGATAGCCAACACAGTTTTCTTGTTGTTGTTGTTTTAGGGTCAGAAATACAGGCAAACTCACCCGTCCGCACCTTCCCGAGATCCTCCCCCCCCCCCCCCCCCACCTAGCTGACCAGCGCACGTGACAAGTTTGCCTCCTCTTCACAGGTTCCAGGGGCCTGCATCTGCAAAGAGGGGTTTGCCGGCGAGCGGTGCGACCGGTGCGCGCGCGGCTACCAGAACTACCCCGAGTGTGAGCCGTGCCCGTGCGACGAGGCCGGCACTCTGGACGCTGAGTGTGAGGGCCAGAACTGCCTCTGCAAGGTGGGCACCCGCTTCAGCAGTAGTCGGTCACAGATGTCGCCTCGGTCATTCGTCGTCAACAGTACGATGAGACCTATGCCCCGTGTCTAGCAAGCTGAGCTTAGTGGTGTGATCCTCGGCGTTGTGCCTAAGACTTCCGGTCATGGGGCTGGCACTGGCACGCGAGGCTTACCTGTGTGGAGGCGATCTCCTCTTTGTTGCCGATCGTCAAGCAGTGCTCTTATGATCGCGGCACACAAGCCGACTTTTACAGAAAGCTTTGAAAAAATCACAACTCAACTAAGTCAGTAAAGCAGTCTCATTTGTGAACCCCACAGCTCCAGCAAGCGGTGTTCTCTTCATTGAAACCCACACTTCACCATTTATAAACGCATAGCACATGTGTCACTGGATCCGAGCTGTCCATTCTGAGGTAGGCACCGTGCCCGTCCCTGACGCACCGTGACGTCATCAATATCTCAGACTCAGCACCTGCCGCGGCGCGATGCTGCGTCATCACGCCTGCGTCATCATATCCTTACAAATGCACCTTAATCCGTTCGCTCTCGACGATGACCATGACGTCCTAGCGAATCACGCAGTGGTTCTGCAGAGTGGTTCAGAGTGATCCACTGGTCAAGTTTCTCGCTTCATTTCCCATGCGCATACTCCAAATCGCTCGTCCCTCGATGCGTCACGGTTTCACGCACAAAGCTCATGCGCCGACGCCTTCGGCCAGCTCGTGGGTGTCTTGCTATGAGTTCACCGCCGCGAGCTCATCACCTGCTGTGGCACAGCTCCTCACGATACGTGAGCGCCGACGTGCCTGGCTGTGGCCCAGCTGCACACGAGGGCTCCACCTGTCCTGACCTGACTGGCCCCTCCACAGCCTCACGTGCGCGGCCAGCGCTGCGACAGCTGCAAGCCGGGCTATTATAACCTGCAGGCGGACAACCCGGACGGCTGTACCGAGTGCTTCTGCTTCGGCCTCACCAGCATCTGCACCAGCTCCTTCCTCGGCGTCGAGAACGTACGCTCACCGCTGCCACCTGCCGGCAGTGATGTGTACAGGCCAATGTGGAATGTCCTGATCTCGCTGCAGTTAATACATTTTGGTAAATGAACGACTAAACTGTTGCCCCTGTCCCACACAACGCCACGTCAGGTGTGCTTTGATTGCACGCCATGATTTCTGCCTCTGCTTTGATTACATGCCATGATTTCTGCCTCTGCTTTGATTGCATGCCATGATTTCTGCCTCGCTTTGATTGCATGCCATGATTTCTGCCTCTGCTTTGATTGCATGCCATGATTTCTGCCTCTGCGAATCTGGCGTTTGTGACATTGTGATTTGGTAGTAACCTTCAAATACGTGTGGCCAGGTGAGGTTGCTTCCTCTGGGAACGTCGACATTGCAGGAAACCGAGCACGCAATGATGTCACACTCACTGCGTCGTTGTTGCCAGGTGACGACGATCGTGCCGTGGACAGTGACGTCACTAGACGGCTCGATGGAGGTACAGCCGTACCTGGACGGCACCACCCAGCTGGTGGCCAACGACGAGATGTCGGACCTCAGCGGCTACTACTGGCAGGCGCCGCAGGAACTGCTCGGTCTGCGCGTCTACAGCTACGGCCAGACGATGCAGTTCGAGACGTCCTGGGTGGTGCGGCGAGGTGACACAGCCGGCCGGCCTGTGAAGGGGCCCGATATCATTCTGGAGGTACGGACACGCGTTCTGGCCAAAAGTGCTCTCAAAGTGCGTCGTTGCGCTGATGTTCTCTTGAAGCAAATCGGCAGAGACGTCCCGCTAAGACTGGCGAAGTCATGTAATAGCGGGTGTTTAGTGGTATGACAAGAACGATGCTTTTACGTTTTGTGCCGCATTGTTTACAAGGTCTAGATGCTGATTTTGTTCCATAGTTTTGTAAGCACCTGGCCGTCTCCTCCCACTTTCCGTGCTCCCCTGAGGTACTCGTATTCACGTGAGCAGGGTCGTCACGGGAGCACGTGTGTCTATGTCGTCATCTGTGCGTGCGCTGTCCGTCTGTTACGGCGGACCGTATCGGCGGCCCATGGCGCTCGATGCCGCTGTTCGGACGTGCTCGGCGTCCGACACCGTCATCTCCACAGGGGGCCGGCTTACGCCTCGGCTACGGCCACAACATGTACCACGGAGGCAGCGCCAGCATTAGCGCACCGCTGAACGAGAGGAGCTGGTACCGCATGTCCACCAAGGTATGCCAGCTCTCCACCGGTCTCAATACGATCACAAGCATAGTGCGCATGCATCTTTCCACCAACGCATGAAACAAGCTGCTACAAACCTAGTCTGGCCAAAACCCACGATTTAGCAGTCTCCTGCCTATGTCATTTGTTTGACAAGTGAGTCGTATGTTGACACCTTATCTCCCTGACACACTGCGGCGACGGCCAGGTGAATGACATAGTGCGCAAGAAGCGAGAGAAGTACGTGCGAGGTCCGGTGACCCGGCGGCAGCTGATGCGCGTGCTGGGCAGCATGGACCGCCTGCTGGTGCGCGCCAAGTACCACAGCGACCAGATCGAGGGCGGGTGAGTGACCAGATCAAGGCCGAGTGAGTGACCGATCGAGGACGGATGAGTGTGGGGGTGAATGACCAGACCAAAGGCGGGTGAGTGACCAGATCGAGGGCGGGTGAGTGTCCAGATCGAGAGCGGGTTAGTAACCAGATCAAGGACGGGTGAATGTGAGGATGAGCGGCCAGATCGAGGGCGGGTGAGGCTGCATGACCAGATCGAGGGCGGGTGAGGGTGAGTGACCAGATCGAGGGCGGGTGATTGATCAGACCGGGGGCGGGTGGGGGTGAGTGACCAGGTCGAGGGCGGGTGGGCGACTAGCTCGAGAGGAACGGGTGAGTAACCAAAGATTGAGGGCGGCCGGATTGGGGCTTAGAGTGCAGTGATGGCTGCATTGCATAAAAAACTGCTGATGCCTCTTACAAGGAAATTTAAAGGATCTGTGGTGATGGGAACGTTGTGCTCGCGCGGTATTGCGTCACAGCTACTCTGTGTGCCCGCATTTCAAGACGATACGATGCGAGGCACGAGCTCTGGCATTGGCCGGATGGACGACTTACAGAGCGCCCGTGAGCGCGCGCCAGTTTTGCGTTATGCGCACTTGCGTCTGCATGTAAGAGTGTTTGCATCCAACTCCCCACGTGCCACTTGTATGCACCACTGAACAGATGTGTTTGTCCAGTGTTTGGCGTACAACCGGCCATCGTAGGTAACATTACATGAGTGATCGCACTAGATATGACCCCACAAGCAAGGTGCTCGCATTCGCCTCCTCCCCCCCCCCCACACTGATCTGCACGAATTACCACCATGCCTCCCCGCCGTTCGGGTTCTCGCGTTCGAGAGCGCCGCGACCCGCGTGTTCTCTCACCTCCGTCCACCGGGGCGCTGCCGCCACCAGGCTGCACGACTTCGTGCTGAAGATCGCCTCGGAGAGCTCCGTGAGCTCGGAGCGCACCACGGCCGTGGAGCAGTGCCAGTGTCCGCCCGGGTACGCTGGCTACTCGTGCGAGCGCTGCGATTTCGGCTACCGCCGGCGCAACGGCACCCTGTTCCGCGGCGAGTGCGTGCCCTGCGACTGCAACAGCCACGCGGAGAGCTGCGACCCCTTCAGCGGACAGTGCGGGGTGAGTGGGCGCGCCGGCTCCGGCAGGTCCTGTCGCGCCCCGCGGCCGGAGCTGACCCGGGCCTGTGCGATATCAGATATTTGTGCTGTGTGATAATGGGCCGGTTACGAGCTTCGGCGATCTTCTGTATCTTTCCACTATAATCGTGCCATTTGTGCGATATCTAACCGAAATCGGTGTAGGCTTTAAAGCCAAAATGAACGATGTCCCCGCAAGCGTCACAGCGAAACAACGAGAAACCGACTCCTTTAACTGTAGAATGGGTCCATGACTTCATATGCACGTACGCCAGCCCGACACTTCGCCCAGGACAGCGTCCTCACACCGCCACAGATGCTTCAGCTCCACGTTACAGCCGCACTGCGTCTCTGCCTCAGGCGTGCCTTCATAACACGATGGGCGACAGCTGCGAACTGTGCGCGCCCGGTTACTATGGTAACGCTCGCCGCGGCACACCGGACGCCTGCCGACCGTGCGCCTGTCCGACCGAGCTGGTCGGCGTCGACTTCACGCCCAGCTGCGAGGCGACGCCCGGCGGCGAGGACTACGTCTGTACCAGCTGTCCACCGGGCCACGATGGCGACCACTGTGAACGGTGAGGCGTCCAACCGGTCCCCGTTCCCCTCCCCCCCCCCATCTCTGCTGTCCACCGGGCCACGATGGCGACCACTGTGAACGGTGAGGCGTCCAGCTGGTCTCCCCCCCCCCGTCTTCCCCTCTGCTGTCCACCGGGATCACGATGGAGACCACTGTGAACGGTGAGACGTCCAGCCAGTCCCCCCCCCCCCGTTCTCCCCTCTGATGTCCTACAGGTCATGATAGCAGCCACTGTGAACGGCGAGACGTCCAGCCAGTCCCCCCCCCCCCCGTTCTCCCCTCTGATGTCCTACAGGTCATGATAGCAGCCACTGTGAACGGTGAGACGTTCCAGCCAGTCCCCCCCCCCGTTCTCCCCTCTGATGTCCTACAGGTCATGATAGCAGCCACTGTGAACGGTGAGACGTCCAGCCAGTCCCCCCCCCCTTCTCCCCTCTGCTATCCTACAGGTCATGATAGCAGCCACTGTGAACGGTGAGACGTCCAGCCAGTCCCCCCCCCCCCGTTCTCCCCTCTGATGTCCTACAGGTCATGATAGCAGCCACTGTGAACGGTGAGACGTTCAGCCAGTCCTCCCTCCCCGTCCTCCCCTCTGCTCTCCTCCGGACCTCAATGAAGATCACTGTGAACGGTGAGGTGTCCAGCCGGTCTCCCCCTTCCCAGCCCCGGCCTCCCCTCTGATGTCCGCCAGGCCACGAGGATACTTCTGCGAACAGCGAGACGTCTGGCCGGTCACCCTGTTCTGTTGTCATTTTCTTCCGCTGTCTTACGAAACGCCAGCTTATCTGCTGATGTCCCCAGCTGAAACATTAGGGTCTCCTGCTGTCTGCTGTTTAGGGCTGAAAGCAGGTGACACCAGTCCTACTTGTTGGATTCTGACCAGCAGTTTCATGAGCCTTAAGTTCGCTATCCGTGCGCCAGCCTTCATGCGTCGCTGTGATATACTATGGCCGGAGCGCCGCGCTGCCGCTGACCTAGGACGTGCACCAGGTGCGGAGCGGGCCACTACGGCTCGCCGCTGGCCCCTGGCGGCGGCTGCCGGCCCTGCCAGTGCGGCGGTAACGTCGACCCTTCGGACCCGGCCGCGTGCGACCCGCTCACCGGCGAGTGTCTGGCCTGCCGCGGCCACACCGCCGGCTGGCACTGCGACGTCTGCGAGGACGGCTTCTTCGGCGACGCCGCCGCCCAGCAGTGCCGCCGTGAGTGTCGCTCCGAGTGCCGTCCCGATTGCCGCTCAGGGTGCCACTGCGAGTGCCGCTCCGAGCGCCGCTCCGAGTGCCACTTCGAGTGCCGCTCAGAGTGCCGCTCAAAGCGCCACCCAAAGTGCTGCCCGAGTGCCACTCCGAGTGCCCCTCAGAGTGTCGCTCAGAGTGCCACTCCGAGTGCCACTTCGAGTGCCGCTCAGAGTGCCGCTCAGAGTGTCACTTCGAATGCCACTCCGAGTGCCGCTCAGAGTGCCGCTCAGAGTGTCACCCGAAGTGCTGCCCGAGTGTCCCTCCAAGTGCCCCTCTGAGTGCCGCTCAGATTGCCACTCCCAGTGCCACTTCGAGTGCCGCTCCGAGTGCCACTCCGAGTGCCGCTCAGAGTGCCGCTCAGAGTGTCACCCGAAGACCTCCATAATGCTGCTCGAAGTGCCATCCGATAGCTCCTCCGAGTGCCGCTCAGAGTGCCGCGTCAGAGTGCCACTTCGAGTGCCACTTCGAGTGCCACTCCGAGTGCCGCTCAGAGTGCCGCTCAGAGTGTCACCCGAAGACCTCCAGAATGCTCCTCGAAGTGCCACCCGATAGCTCCTCCGAGTGCCGCTCAGAGTGCTGATTTGAACGGCGGTACCAGAAGAGTGCTGGTCTCAGTGTCTCGTAAAGAAATTCGCGCCATTAGCAGCGTTCAGTGAAGCCAAGTGGATACCCAACCCTCCTCGAATGATTAGCGCACATGCAAGCAGTTTTCTGCCCAAGTTACCAGCTGCATTAGCGGTTGCACACCTAATCGTATGTGGGAAAGTAAGTACTAATTTAGACCGATGAAGTGCCGGACTTTGGCGTCGCTTGCTTTACGTCTACCAGATTCGGCTTTTTTAATTACTACCAAACCTCGACACTAATATTGCGTGGAAGCAGGATACTTTTGACCTATGCCTAGCACCAAAAGTATCTAGAAAATGTTCAATGGCCGTTTTTTACTGAACTGAATCTGAGTGAGGTGCCGTCGAACACAGTGTTCTCGCCAGTCTCTTCACCCCGCGCTCTGCCGTGCTTGCAGCGTGTGAGTGCATGTTCTGCCACAGTGTTCTCGCCAGTCTCTTCACCCCGCGCTCTGCCGTGCTTGCAGCGTGTGAGTGCGGCATGTTCGGCTCGACCAGTCCCGTCTGTGACCACGTGACAGGCCAGTGTCCCTGCAAGGAGCGCTTCATCGGCGAGAAATGTGACCGCTGTCAGGTCAGTGGCCTCGCCGTCCCGGCTCGGATCTAGGTAGCGCTCCGTTCGATCAGTCAGGTGCCAATTGATCTTGTTTTGATTATTAATGGCATTGGAAACGTATCCCTGCTTTCAATGAATGTCTCAGGGAGTATACTTGTACGTTTGCTGGCGATCGTTATGCGTCGTTTTTGAGCGGTCTGATCTTACTCGGTCATGGCATGAGCTGGGGCTGTGCTGGGGCTGGTTCAGCGCAGATTGCATTCTGCGCTGAAAAATGTTCATGCTTTGATCAAGAACAATTTTACTCTAACGTTGCCAGGAAACATCGAGCGCAGATTGTTTACGCTTTTGTATTCAAGCATGCTAAGCCAACACGAGTTTCACGAGTGCTTGCGTGCATATACCATCCTTTATTTCTTCCTAAGCTGCTCGGCTGTTACCAGTGCGCGCTGCTCGCAGAACCCGGGTGGCAACATCGAGGCCGACTGCCTGGAGTGTTTCTGCGACCTGGCCGGCAGCCTGGGCCCGCTGTGTGACCCGGGCTCGGGTCAGTGTCAGTGCCGCGCCGGCGTGGAGGGCACCAACTGCAGCCGCTGCCTGCCGGACCACTTCGGCTTCGGCGCCGAGGGCGGCTGCAGAGGTGAGTCGGCGGCGCTCTGGCTGGTGTCGCGGCGGTGGTCTGGAGTGTAGGGGCACGTCGACTTGACTGGTCGCGCAGCGCTGGTGTCGCGGCGGTGGTCTGGAGTGTAGGGGCACGTCGACTTGACTGGTCGCGCAGCGCCGGTGTCGCGGCGGTGGTCTGGAGTTTAAGGGCACGTCGACTTGACTGGTCGCGCAGCGCCGGTGTCGCGGCGGTGGTCTGGAGTTTAAGGGCACGTCGACTGTGACTGGTCGCGTGGCGCCTACACCAGCCTCCCCTGTGAAGCCTTCTCCCACTTTGGAGGTTCATTGCGTCCTCAGGCCAGCTCCGCCTGTGGAACTGACTCGTGCAGCCTGGTCAGTCATCGTCATAATACGACCCCATCTATTGACACTTCACCCGGCTCTTCAAACACAAATTGTTTCCAATCGCAAACTGCTCAAGATAATTCAGACGAATCCACCTCTGATGCCGTAGGCAGCCTCGGTCGCACCATAAAAACAACGTGTTTTGTTTGAAGGTCAGTGGCTGTTGATTGCCCTTTTAGCTTTCGAAATCAGTCCATTACTTCTTCAGACTGAGAGGAACTATAGCCCACTGCCAACTACTCCCGGATGGCTACATACCTCGGCCAGTGCCGGGCTAAATGTAGGTGCGCTCAGAATGCACGACAGGGGAAGTACAACGCAACTTAACAAACAACGAAATCAGGTCCACATGTTCCATATGAGAAACGTTCGGGGGTTTGGAAAAACGACAAACATGACCTGTCCCGTGTAAAAGAACTTGCGAGTTGCGGCCTTGTGAGGTCGGAGGTATGCGTGACGAGCTTCATCCGATCGTGTATTGCAGGAGTGGTATTGTGTCTCCATCCTCATTGCCTTTTAATAATATGGATCAGCTTGAACCTGTCCACTTTTGAATGTATATTTCAATGCATACTACCTTCACTTTGTTTGATATCGCCTCCCTTGTTAGTTCCCTTAATTAAGCTCATGACAAATTTTTATTTTAAGTAGTCAGGGTAAATCAGGTCACAAGAGACCAGTTGTTCTCACTCCAAAGTCTTTACTATAATACATTCCGAAATAAAAAAGGGAGCCGAATCGACCCCTAGACAAAATTAGCATATAGAGAGCCAGCCGGGAATGGCTGAATTAATGCCAATACACTTCAACCCATGCCAGCGGATTAAAACATGATATTTTAGTGAACGGTAACAGATGCTATGCATTTCGTCGAAACAATTGGGAATTACAATAAGCATGCAGGATGCATAATACAATGCTGTTCATGTTGGCATAACGCAAACAAGAAGCTTTCATGCATACATAGAAAACATTCAGGAAACGTGATAACAATTGAAAACACAGTCATCCTCAATAATTGAGGATTGGGGGGCACCATTTTTGTTTGAGCGCACCGTATGTGACGATAAACTTTCGACAGCGTGCTGCTTCTGGATCTCCGAAGGGAATATGTTGTTGGATTCTACAGCTAAAAATCATAGACCATAAAACCTATAAACCGTAAAACCCATAAACCATACCATGCCACAAAAAACTATAAAACCATTATCCCATAAACCATAAGGACCACAAAGGACCACTACACTGCGCAGTTGGAACCTTGCCCTCGCGTGTGCAGTATGCCATTGTGCACAGTCATTGGCTTTCATGGGTGTTCCTCTGTCAAGCTATCATATTTTATGTTGTTTACATTTTGAAGTCATAATATTGGAATGACGACTGTTTCGGGCGTTCCACTTGTGACATGCAAACAAATGCATGTATCCTGTTAAACCCATGTCATGCCCCGAAAGGATCGCCCGAAAGGTTACATGCGATACCGTGTTACCGCCCACGAACGCTGTGCGCCGTGGTCACCGACGCCGGGGCGTTATGGCCGCTGCCGCTGCCGGGGCGGTGCACTGGGAAACGCCGCCGAATTAATGGCTCTGTTTGCCTGCAGTCGCAGCCCAGTTCCATACAATGGGGCCGTCCTCGCGCACTCCGCACACAATGCGCGCCCGAGTGGGAACCGTGGCTCTGCTCGGCGTCCCCGCCCTGCAGATGCCGCACCTGTGACGTCAGCGTCCGGGGCCGCGCCAGGAGAGCACCTGGTGTGCGCTCTGCCTTCAGCTGCACCGCTCTCGGCGTGTGTCAGTGGTCGCCGCATTCGTGCGAGCTCGCTTGCTCACCGGCTGGAGATTCCAGTTGGTGTGATATTCAGCCTATGTCGTGACGTCCAGGATATTCGGGACGTCGTTAACAGTTCCAGGACGTCGTTCACACAATTCCAGGACGTCGTTCGCACAGTTCCGGGACGTCATTCACGCAATGCCGGGACGTCGTTCATACTATTCTGGGATATTGTTCACACAATTCTGGAATGTCGTTCACACAGTTCCGGGACGTCGTTCAATAATTATGGGACGTCATTCACACAATTCCGGGATGGCGTTCACACAGTTCCGGGACGTCGCTCACACAATTCCAGGACGTCGTTCGCACATCTAGACGTTAGTAATAAAAAAAATAAATGCAAGGACAAGTTAGCATGAGCGCAAACTGTCAAGTGCTGGGCCATGACTATTGGTCCATGAAATGCACCAACAGGTAGAGATCGGTAGCCTCGATTAATGCTAGACACGTCCAGCTTTTGTACAGCTGCGATAGGCGCTTCCGCGAGGTGGTATTGTGGGCGAAAAAACCCACCGCCGTCAGACAGGATGCGGTCAGTTTGCCGACGGATTGGCCATCGCGCGGTCGCCTTACTCGTATCATCGGTCAGATAGTGCTTTGATTGATGATTGATTGATAGTGCTTTGATTGATGACTGCCAAGACTTTTGTAAACCGCTAACTACTCCATGTTACTTGGTGCATACGAGAAGAACGATGTCTCCAAGTAAAGGTATGGTACGTTTTCTCCAATGCAAATTGAGATAGTTCCAGAAACAAGGTCAAAGTGGTAGAAGTCCAAAAATGGTCGCACTTTTCTTGAAACGATTTCATCCGCACAAAATAAAAGTCCTAATTTCCCGGTGATGCCACCGCCACCTTCTGCATCGTCAGCTGATGTAACGCTGTCCATGTCTAAGATACCAACACAAATAACTCATTTATTTATTTAACGTGCAATTCTAAGGTTTTTAATTATCGTTCCACTAAGATATGCTTCTACAACATTACACCGTTGGATACATAGAATACGTAATTTGATCTAAAATGGGTGCTGGTGCTTCCAGAAGAAAAACACGACCAAACAAGGCATTAAAAGCAGCATTGAATAAACTGTCAGTGCTTTTCAGTTCATGATAGTTCATTCGGCTTTTTCATAAGCCGATAGAAGTCAGGCGCTTTGTCGGAATTTTAGGACGTCCTACAGAGATATCGAATGTGCTGCAGTGTATTTAATAATGAAGATATGTAACACAGCTTTCAGCGTATGCGCTTGCGGTCTTTAAGGGTAAAAACCTTAACACCCGGCATTGCAGTCTTCACGGGCTCCCACGGTGTTGGCCCCGCAGCTAACAGGCGGCGGTCAAAAGGCTTCGATGCACCGGGGAGTGTAGTGTTTCTGAACCCTTCATAAAAGCGATGCGCTAGTTTGGAGAGTACCGAGTCGTAGATTTTACTGGTTAAATTTTCATATTGATGCCTGAAACGGTTTCATTTATGGCACCCAGAATCCTTGATGTGGCGCCGAGATGAACTATACTGAATTCATATTGCCGTAACTGCTACTCCATTCAGGTTAACCATGATCATCATTGTAAGGATTATTAGTTTGAGGTTTATCAGTATTATCTGGATTAACCTCAGGATTGCAGTCTTGGAATGTACGTACCAATCTTAACCTTGAACGGTGCGAATAGCTTTAAAAGGAGAAACAATGACTCCGGGAGGCCCCATTTTTCGACGCTCGGTCATTTTCGCCGCCGCCGCTCGCCGCCGCCGCCGCCGCCTAGAAACAACTGTGCCAGCCAGCGGTGCTCGGCTCGATGGAGACTGCAACGCCGAGCATCCACGTTTCGTTCTTGAATTGCCAGCGCGCGTGCTCAGAACTGGTGTATATGATTTTTTAATTCTATTTTCTAAAAAATGATATTCTTCCTCAAGAAAACGTGCGTTGGCCAGGTTCGTGCAAATATTTGCTTTGTTTTGATACACTCTTATTGACACAAAAGGAGCACGTTTCCGGGGCTGAGGGCCAATAGGAGGAACATTAGGGGGCACATTACCTTTCCCGGTCAGGGACCAAAGAACCGCTCCGTGCCAGCCTGTAAAACCCACCGGCTGATAATTTGAGGACATGGGAATCGAGGATCACTGATCCGGAGGCTCTCAGGGTAAAATATCATGCATTGGTCCCCTCCCTTGTGCGGGAGACTTATTAACCGGAGCAGTCGGTCCCCGATTGGCCTGGGGCACTGACTGGTGCATGATGATCCTCTACCGGCACAGAGGGTCTAATAGTATTGGCACAGGGATCCAGTTTGGCTGACAGGCCCCTGGCAGAAACAGGGCGATTAGCCCTGGTTCGGGACTGTCCCTGACTGCACAGGGCCCTTCCATCGTCTGATTGTGTGGCCTCGCGTTATCCCCTCTTACGTCCACTTTAATTATCAGAGGACCATAACCCACGAAAGGGCCCTCCGATATTCGGGGCCAATCCGCTGCCCCATTTAGCGAATGTGCCCCCGGCCAGTTCAAAGCCTTTTGGTGACATGGAGTCCTGGTAGGCACTGTAAGGCTCTGGCCGACACCGGGCCCCCATTGTGCCAGAGGTCTCGACCAATACAACGAGCATTCAGACAATCGCAGGTCCCGGCCCTGCATCTGTTTGGAAAATGGGCCCATGGCCCAGACCGCCCATTGGTTTTTGTGGTTTCTGACCGACTTAGAGACCCTTACCGTCCCAACAGACCCCCGGTCGGTGCAAGAGACCCTCCGATTCACATTGCAACGCCCAGTCAGGCGGGCCGGATCCTTCGGG